ACATGGCCGGAACGAAATCGTAGCTCAAGCGGAAAAACTTCGACGAGAAAACAAGGAGGAATCCACCCAACGCACTTTAAAACACCTGCATAAGGGAGACGGGCGAACTCCTTGACAACCTGCCCAATTTGCTTGTGTGTTCTAGTGCCGTAGTAGATTCGAGTCTTCCTAAGAACAACACAGTTTAGCCGCACTCAATAGATCGAACAAAGATAGCATAAAGCTTACGGTAAACATATGCAGTTTTTCTCGATTTTCGGCTCTACTGGCTCCTCTGGCAGATCAATTCTCTGTAACATTACATAAAGAGCACCTAATAATTGGAAACCCAGCGTTCTGTCCTGGTCGTTGTCCTCAGAGGCCTTAACATGACCGGAGCTTTTGAATCTGCTCTCGATAGGCCGTCAGACGCCTGGACTCCTAGCTTTACTTAAATGTGATATGATTGTTTTTAATTATTCTCATTTAAGATTAGTATATATAAGTGTAATTATAGTGTAGTATATATACGTGGTAAAATTTTGAATTTTTGGATTTATTGATTCCAAGGAAGTAGCCTAGTTTCCGTGCCCTTAGACGGAAACCAGACAACATGGTATGCTCCCGGTAAGGAAGGGTAGGAGCAACAGGTTTAATTAGACGGAAACCAGACAACATGGTATGCTCCCGGTAAGGAAGGGTAGGAGCAACAGGTTTAATTGCGATGAGTTCGAAATTAAAAAAAGGCCTAAAGCTTTAACAAGAATTCTAAACTTAGAGCTTTCAAAAAGCTTAAAGTTTAAAATTTTTTTAAGTCTTAAGGCCTGAACATTACTGCTAGGGAAAAGAGGCGTTCATTGGCCCACGGAGGGTAATTTCTAGAAATCTAGCCCGGTTGCGACGATCCAACCCGAACCTGAGATGACGATCAGAATTCACTATAAGGTCTTCACGAAGACAGAAGGACGCTAGCGTAGTTAGGAGGGAGGCCTTGCGGCTGTGCATACCCACCCCATGGTGACTTCTGCGCTCTATTGAGCTTAACCTTTGGAAGAGGTAACGGGCACAAAGACGCTGCCTCTCGTCCCCCTTCCCCCCACCCCAAATAAGTTAGCTCGAGATCTCCTCTTCCGACGTGCCAGTCCGGGTCAACCTAGATAGCAATCAAACCGTTTATAATGCCAGAAAACGAAACCAACCCCATACTGTTGTGCCCGAGGAGTGTGAGCAAAGTCTGAGAAGAACTCATCATCATCTGAAATGGAAGTGCGGCGGTATCCATCATGGGTGAAGATACCATCAGTTTATTAAAAAATCGGCGCAGTTCGGCGAGGAGGAGCATTTTGCACTTTCACTGCTTCACTACTTCCGGTTTACAAGTCTCACTCTGGTAAAACTTGTGAAGCTGGAGCAAGCTCGTCTAGCCACCATGGTAAAACGTGTGAATTCGAGATGGGTCGACCCATCCATGGGAAGTCAAATCCCCCCCCCCCCCGTCGCCGAACTGCGAGAAAAAACCACTTACATGATTGACCACTTTTTACACTGAGCGGTTCCGGTTTGACCTGAAAATCAGAAAAAGCATCTGCAAAGAACTGATATAGCATGGAAATACAGTCCACTACGTTACCAGTTAAGAGGACGGCCTATTGCTGACGTCACACAACATATCAATGGCAAAACTCGAAACATTGGTAATGACGCAGTACAAGATTCCCCGTCGTAAAAGCGTTATATGACATCAATGCCACTTCGCTTTTTAACGAATACAGTTCTGACTAGTTAGGCCGCGTTCACGCTCCGGGACGGAGATTCGGCAACTTCAGGAATGCGCGACCAGGAAAATACCAGATCCTGTACGTTCCTCGGCGCAATCTCGTCTCAGAATTGCCCAATCTTCTCGTCGCAAAGCACAAACGCGGACTTAGGTGGCTCGAAACATCACTACAATGTCACTTCAAATGTGCCATGGCAGCTTAAGCTAAGATAATTTCGTCAAACGAAATTCGTAGGGCTACAACGACACAAGTGATAGACTCCAAGACACTGTTCCGAATCATCTAGCTAGGATACTCACTGGGTTGTGCTATAAGCCGCGCCTAGGATGTCCTTAACCACATCCCCACCTAACAGAAAAAGGAACTATGCTACACCTGCATCTCTACCAACACTAAGACAAAAAAAACCAAAATATATAGTTTTCTATTTGATTCGAACCTCATTAAGTTCGCTTTTGACATTTTGATCGAGCTGCACATCGTCTTCTAGCTCTTGCTTTACTGAAAATTAGGTTCTAATCAGAGAAGGCGACTTTATATAGAACTAATTGAGAACATTCTTGGGAATGGCAAGAAAAAAAAACTATGCTGATCAAGGAATGAGCATACTGGATGCGTATGATGTATCTCTTCTGCTATTGTGCACGGGACATGCTATCCTTGCTTCCAGCCTTTTCTTCTTGTAGTCATCCAGCCAAGCACAACTCGATGCCAGCAGTGCCAATGTTTTCCCTTCAAAAATTTAAAGTGTAAAGAATAATCGAACTTCTTCGGTACCATAGCAATTCTCAAGCCAAGCTGCGCCCTTTGATGGTTTTACCGCAATTCAGAAGAAACATGGGTAAAGAGGAAGATGGAAACCACTTGATTTCGCCCGCTAGCGTTTTTGGAAAACACTTGATTCGGGACAGGGTACAACACTGTTGCACCAAACCCATCAGGAAGGTCATATACGCCAGGAAAGGGGGTCGCATTTTGTCCCGAGAAGAAAGTTATTCAGCGTTTTTTCCCCGTTTCCCCGCGCTGTATAAACCCTTCCCATGTTAACGCCGCGACAAACCGCCGATTTCTAATAGTTAGTCGGTAAAAATGTAGAAGAGAGGTAGGTTATTAGATGGAAGAGATGGTCCGGATGAGCAGATCTAGCGGGAATAGCACTTACACCGACAATTCACCCATCCCACTTCTAGTCTGTGATTCGGGAGAAGCTGTGATACGCTGGTGGGTGGGACCAACTCATCCCCAAGTAATCCTCTCCACATTGACAAACTATGAACGCAGCACAGAAAAATTATTATATCAAACAAATGGTCTTAGCTAGTTAACTTTATTATGAAAACTCGCTGGTATTTGAAACATACCGCTTCCTGTTGGGCTTTCCGCCAAAAAATTCAATCTCTTCGTGAGTGAAGTGATCAAGCGTACCATCATGAGTTTTTGCGATGGGTAGGGTTTCAATCCGACAGGTAGACGCACTTCTATACCGCACATTGGTAAACTGTCATATTGTGAATTGTCGATGACCACCTTCTCACTACAAGAAAATATCAGGTCATCAGGGCCCCATTATAAGTATCAGTTTTAAGTGACATACCGTTTCCGTTTCTTAGGCCTAAACATCGAGGCATAACTTGAAGCCGGTGATTGAATAGGTTGTGCAGCGCCATATCCTTCTGGATCTTCTTCCATACCCCCACCACCTTCTGTCCAGGGATTTCCTTAACACAAAATGAAAATAGAGAACGTGAAACATGGAGAGGGTGAATTTGAAAGCCTCAGCGTTTCCGGAAGGTAGTCTGGCTCTTCTTAGTGTCCATGGTCAGAGCGCGTTCATACTTCGCGATCGCGAAGTCTGCACGCGCTCTTAGACTTCATACTTCGCGGCGAGAATCGGAGGATGCGCGCCAAAGGAGTAGATAAGATTCAATCCGCTTAAGCTGCTAGCGAGTGCCCGGGAGAACTAAAAAATAGAACCAAGTTCAGAAGAACTATTCAGAGAATGGGAGAACTTTAATCTAATCGCAAAATGCACAAAATGAAAGAGCACGCGCCAAACAAGTTGACGCAAATTGATCGATTTCTTTGTTGTCCTATACTCCTAAATCGCCACATAGATACCTATGCTACTTACCTTTGGCGCCTTTCCTAATATCAACCCAAGTTCGCCAGCGACCAAAGTTCATAGATTCATATCACTTCCTTTGGCGCGCATAATCCTGCAATAAGGCGCCGCAAAGTATGAACGCGATCCCAGCGAGCTATCGATATAGTAGCCCGGTCGCGACTCAAGCGACAGTTGTTGTTTTCATACATTAGAAAACAGGAGATCAGGAAAATAGCAGGATTTGGACCAAAGTAGTAGATGGAAATCGATCGAATCGATACGCTGCGGAACTGGGAGAAGGGAGAAGAATCGATCAGTTCCCTTATTTTCGCTTCGCTGGCGTCCATTTACGCCTTTGGAGCGCACTCCTACTGTTCTAACTTACTGTTTTCGCTACTCGCAAAGCATAGAGGAAACCTCTGCGGTGGACCGCAATGTACCGACTTCGTAATCGATTTTGGTGAAGAACAAACTGTTGTCATGACAAACGCGCCCCACCGCCGGTCTTTTCAATCACGCGACTCGCGCAACTGTCGCGAACTATGAACTTGTCCTCGCTCGACCTTTAAAATTGGCAGCAGATCTGAGAATCCAGATCCGCAGCGTATGCAGAAAAACACCATTAATCACACTTATGAATTCACATACTGCTTCTCCTTTCGCTTCGTCGTCCACGGCCACGCCTTTGCACCGATGTATAGTCGAAGTTTCCCATAACCCTGAATGAGAAGACGTAACATTTGTAAGAAATTATCATGTTTAGAGAAGTAATCGTCTCGAATCTCATCCTTTTTTCTATGGAAACAATCGAGCGAACGATGCTCAAGTTTCCGGACATTTGGCACAAAAGAAAGGTAGGCAAAATCTCTCCTAACACTCTCCTCAGTTATCTGCGCGAAGTCGAGCAGTTCTGCTAATTAAATAACCAGCTTCTACAGCGGACTCAATAATTCACTGTCCATAGATGGCGACAGTACGAGATGGCGTTTAGCCGCGCGTTCAGACTTCGCGACGGCGATCGATCGCTTGATCGCGCGATCGGAGTCGCAGCGATCCGATAAGCGCTAGCTACTGAGGGTGAAATTACTGCGGGAGGGGGTTATGTGCGTATATGTTTATTGATCCTGCTCTCTCTCTTTTCCTTCTTTCTTCCTTTGTGTACATAACGCCCTCCTAATTTTAAAGAACGTTTCGAAATATCTTTGAGTTATTTATTATTTCCTATGTAAAATAGTACTAAATATACAATATGCTAATTATTATACTGAATTTTGCATTTGAGTACGTTCAAGCGGAGTGTTGAACATCTTGTTCCAAAAGTAAGACACGCAGAACTTTTAACAGCGGGTGATGTTGTTTCTCTCCCTTCCCCGATTTTGCCAGTCGTATGTGCCAGATATTCACTTACTTTTTGTCAAGCATTTGTGTTTGCTTTTTTGTTTTGCCTGCCATGCTCCAGTGTATAGCATCGAACCTTTCCTTTCAACGGTTTCTGCAAACGTCAGTATTGCGAATATGAACACGGAATAAAAGACATCAAAAAAGGTCGAACTTACTTTTATATCGTTTTTGGAACTGCCTATTGGAGGCAGGATACAGCATTGTGATGTGAGAAATGGTGATATTAGTACGCTCCCTTCCCAGAACTTTGTTGTTGTTGTTTGTTGAGTTGAGTTGAACATGAACGAACATGACCCCCTCCCGCAGTAATTTCACCCTCAGTAGCGCGAATCGACTCGCAGAGGCAGATGGCCGAAACCATCCGATCGGGCGCGATCGGCGAAGTTCGTGGACGCGCTCTTCTGTAACGAGAAGGAAAGGAGGAGGGCATGCCAAGAGCTGCAGTGAGTTGCGATCACATCGCTCGCGCGCCATCTAGGCGTCTGATCGCTCGCTTGATCAGATCGCGATGTAGAACACGCTCTGAGGAGCGTTCATTGACTTCGGCGACAGCAAGTGGCGATCGCGGCGACCTCGGCGATCGCCGCGATCGTCGGTACAAGGCGGAGCGCGCCACAACGTTATTACTTACGCTTCGAAGGCTTTTGGGGGTAAGCGCTGCAATTTCCATTGGCTTTTATTTCGCGTCAACTGCAATTCCTTAGGTAGTGAGCATTGGTTTGAGGTGGTAAGTCTGCTCGGCTCCACCGGTGCCACTGGAGCTTTGTCTTTGCGAGCTGCAAAACGCAGACATCCGAATGCAGGTGACAGGCCTTCGTGACGGGCCGACCTACGAACACCCCATGTCACATCACAATGTTTAACAATGCACGTCATGTGCTTCGTGGCGAGATTCAGGCACCTGTGCCGTGAGGATGTCTTGAAGCTCTGCGGTTCTCCGTGAAAGCGGTCCTAGAAAGGGCGCCCCAAGCAGCGCTGGTCAGATACGTTGCATGCGGACTTGAAGGTGGTTGGAACCCATCCTGATCAAGCATTCAATCGGGAGAAGTGGCGTGATAAAATAAGACGAGCGGACCCTGAGCGAGAGAGCGGGACAAACGTGAAGGATAAGTAATGAAGAAGGTAGTGGAGGCTTGGTTTGACACAAGGGGTGAGCCCAACTTAATGGCTTTTGTTTCTATATTCTTTTTTGATTCAGGATAGAAATGAGCAAAAAGCGTGAGAACTTCATTTAAGGTAAATTTTTTATTGTTTCTTTTTTTGTCGAGCTTACACATGAGGTTATAAAGTTTTCCCCTGCTGATGTTCCGTAAAGTGAATTTAGTGTTTTGATTCCTAGGTGAGTTTCTTTCTGTTTTTCTTTGTTCTTCGTTGTGGAATACTACTTCGACAATAGGAATTCCGAGGCGCTTGCATAAAGCTGAAACATGAAAAACAGAAAGATAACGCGGGAAAAGAGGCTTCAAACCCAGGGAAGTTGGCCTTATCCCGACTAAAACGAAGTAAAACCTTCTTACCTCATATTCCAGATCTGCTTATGTGTAGAAAGTCGTAGCTTATCTGTTAGTAGCCCTTATTGAGAGTAAAGAAGGTCTTACAAGCTGGGTTACATTCCCTTATCCATCAGGCGAGCGGTCCAAAATAGCGTGGGGCGCAACGCCTGCATGGCACCCGACCGATCGCGGCTCGGGAGTCGCCGAAGTCGCGGCGACGCCGCTGCTGTCCGCGCGAAGTACGCTGCCTGGAGCGGTGCGTTGCATACTTTCCGTGCACGTTTGTGTTTCAAGGTTTTGAGCGACAGGAAAGTTAGTCATCGATATAATTGTTTCGAGGATTTTCGAGCGTTTCACTGAAGAGCAATACTGATACTTTCCTTTTCGTTCAGAAACACTGAGTTTCCCCTAAAAACCCAGAACGCTCATAACGCCGCCGGGAAGTATGAATGCCGCCTAAGGAGGTCATAATGGCATATGAATCTCGCACCACTTCGCGAACGGCACAGCATGGCAACGCTATGAGTTTTGCTAATATATCTCACCTAATTGTTGCTATTGTTCATATTTCCTCGGGTTGGGACGGCGCGCAGAGACATAGACATACAGTGCAATGCCCTTCTATATCCCTCCTCCCACCTACCTTAATTGCAACAGAAAACCCTCACATCGCTTGGTGCCCTTCATCAGATATGTACAGAGCCGTTTTATTAATGGCATCGTCCCCCCTCCCCTCCATAGTCCTGCAACTTCGTTAATTCTTAGCTCTTCGCCAGATTAAAACTGGTTTCATACTGTAGATGGCAATAATGGATTATGACTCAGACCAGCTACAAACACTATGACTCAGACCAGCTACAAAAATTGCTGAAGTAAATAAGGACAGCGAGTAGCAAACTAGCAGGGTATTTCTTAGCTAATTGGCTTGACATGCAGCGCTGCCACGATAAATCAACTGGGTCCTGTGGCGAATGCCGCGGTCGCGACATCGTTTCTTAAGCCTCTTTCGCCGCCATTACCGCAACTTGCAGTTAGATGCGTTAACACCATGGTCCCCTGCTTCACTTCAGTTTTATGGGGTCACCATCCCGAGCGGACAATCCGGACAACTACCAACTCCGTTCTATCGATCCCTAGGTAGGTAAATTAGGTTGAACTGATCCCGTTCGAGACAAGCAAATCAAGAACAGCAGTCGCTGTCCTGTTCGTCCCTAATTATAATCTATAGTGTATGTCCAGCTCCTTAAATTCTTTATGCAGATTTTCTACTACGAAAAATCTTACGATTTATTTGTAGGGGGTCGCTGGACCGGCTAAGCGAATTGGGTGTTGCTAACACCTTATATCCTGGAGATGGAGAAGGCGTGGCCATGCACATCACTGGACAAGATGTCTGCTGCACGTTGGTGGGATATTATGTTGTGGGACAGTTGTGGTCGTCTTAGTTTAGATTAACGCAAGGTGACAGTTTTCTCAAAAGGAAGTATTTCACAAAGAACACATCTTACATACAACTTTCCAAACGAATCACTAGCCACACCCTTCCCATTTCCCAGATATGTGACTAGCCATTTGTGGTTGACTGTTCACACAATGATAATGAATACATAGTATATCGAGTGAATCAATTTCGCCCCTGAGAATCGGGCAAACTGAAGAAAAGCTCGACTAGCGATTTATATGCTATTTGTAGTTATGATTGCTATTTTGTTCTTTTATGTCATCAAGGTTCTAATGAACTGAGGATGGGCTCAAAGGAATCTAATTTTTGGTAAATCGTAAATGCATTGCGAAATTTGTGCACAAGAGCAGAAGAAGCGAAGGTCGAACTCGTTTCAAAATCTCGCGCTTGGCGGCGAAAATTGTCGCGCGCGACGGGAAGCGCGGCGGTTCCACCCCCCGTCGGCCGATCGATGCATTCCAAAGAATTCCGTTGGATAGGCTTCATTACGCTGACGTGTTGCATCCACATCGCCTGGTTGAAGCCCTTGTTTTCGTCCTTTCATCATTTGCAACGCAAGGCTACACATCCTGAAGGGGTGGTTATTTTAGGGACCTTGTTACTAATTCTGTCCCGAAATTGGCCATTATTTGTCCTTGGAAGGCGGCACTTCAGAGGTTTTGGTCCTAAATGCTGTAAAAGATGGTAAAAAATGCACTTTACAAAGAAAGCTCTGAAGAGGAAGGTTTCCAGTCCTTTCCCCTTTTTCGATGGAATAATAGCGATTTGTTGAGAGAGCCTGTTGGCAAACAAACGAATCATTCCGAAAAGACGTCATAAAGTTTTTTCCAGAATATTTTATTCGAAAACAGCTTATTCAGAGATAACATAGAACTGGCTCCCACGCTTTCCTCAGCTATATCGTTCTTTTTCTTTTGTTTCTTTCATTTTCTTTGTTTTTTTTCGAACTTATTGTCATTTTGTTTTACTCCATTATGATGAGGCATTTTGTGCATTAGTTCGTCGGGTTACAGTAATCGCACAGTTGAGTCTCAGATCGACATAGTTTCGTTATTACGCGGTATCTACAGTTTTTTTTGTATTGGAAGGCATTTGCTTCGGATGATGCGAAGAACGATTGCGAGCCAAGGCATGAGGATTATTGCTAAACCCTGAGGGAAGGAGCTAAAGGGTTACCAGGAGGGTAAACCTTCATGCTCCTCTGTTTTTTTCTGGGGGAGAGGGGGGGGATGCGCCGGGAGCGGGAGGGAAGCAAAGATGGTTTGACGACGTCACGCGGCGACACACTAATATAAAGTCATGCCATGTCTATTTTGGTTCGCCACTTCTTTTCAGAGCTTTGAGTGGGTTTATGGGCCACTTCTGTGTTCGGTGAGAGGACGCAGACAAGCAGACATGACG